GTAGTTGGCCTGGCTCCGGTCACGCTTGTAGCCCACGAAGCCCGGGTGACAGAGGCAGGTGCTGTTCTCGTGGCACTGCGGGGTGACGGAGCCCAGCGGGGAGCAGTTGCAGGCTGCAGTGGTGGCAGAAAGGCATCACGCTGCGGTTGCCAGCCCCAGTTTTGGGACAGAGGCACCATCCCCGTCCCCGTTACCTCGGCAGCCCCGGGCAGAGAAGCCGAAGAAGCCGTGGTGGCATCGGTCGCACTGTCTCCCCGTGACGCCTGGCTGGCAGGAGCACTGCCCTGTCAGCGCGTGGCACCCACTGTCCTGCGACCCCATCGCGTGGCACTCACAGCTGGCACCGAGAGGTGGAGGGTGATGAGCAAGCAACGGATGCAAGGAACAGAGACCAGAGCCGGGGACGCAGAGCCACCGCTGTCCCCTCGCAGCCCCACGTACCTCCTGCACCCCCCACCGGGGGCCCGTGCCCGGATCGCAGCCCTCCTGCCCAGGGTCTGAGCCGTCGGGGTGGCAATCACAAGCTAAGGGAGAAAAAAATACGGCTTACATCCCAGCACAGGGCTGGCAGATGGGACAGCGGGAATGGGGTGCTAGGGCTGAGCCCCCCCCAGTGTGGTGGGCCATGTCCCGCCTGTCAAACAGGGCTCCAAGAGGCTGAGCTCTGCAGACCAGGGTATCTCAAGGGGGCAAAGACCCTTCCTGAGGGTTTGGGGCCAACCTGGACCATCGATCATCCCCTAAACCCGCTGGGCATCCCCCTTCCACCCTCTGCCTCTACTGCTGGGAGGATTTTGACCGCGGTGGGACCCAGAGGATCAGGGCCAGCCCCGGGACCATACGTACGTGCACACTTCCCAGCAGGGTCAGGAGCCAGTGCGTCCCCGTAGAAGCCCGGCCGACACCTCTCGCAGTGCTCGCCCGTTGTGTTGTACAGGCAGCGCAGGCACCGGCTGGACACGGGGTCGCAGTTCCCCACGGCGTTGAGGTCCACGTTCCCGTGACACTGGCAGGGGACGCAGAGATGCACGGGGCCCCCCTGCCCCAGGGGGGCCCCGAA